GCTTAAAAGGATGGCGTCTGCTGGCTTCAGGTGTGCTTATATGCTGAGATAATTGCAGATGTCGCACACCTGCGCAAGCTTACGCTGCCAATTAATTTCATTCATTGGCCCGTTCAATACTCTCCAGATAAGCGGCTTCTGATCCGAATCCTCCCCATTCATGGCACTTCCGTTCCCCTCCTCGGGGAACGAAGGGTTACTTCTGTAACCTCGAACGTTTTCATGCATCAAGACTATAAAAATGTTTGACATTTTGGGCCCTATCATACAACTGGCACAGTAAGCCACAAGATGTGTTTAACACAATTTGTTGCTTTTTTCAGACCAGCGCAACCCTAATTTTCACATTTTGCGCCATGTTGTTTAAATAGCAAATTCATTTGCACTATTTTGTGGACTCAAGGTTGTGCCGGTCTATAAAGGAGGTATGTTAAGGCTCATTGTTGGTTCATTGCTATTTTTAGGAACTAAAATAAGCTGCGCCATTGACCATCTAAAAGCAGGTCTAAAGTCCAGCATAGAGCGTGTTTGTAATACGCCTATGCAGGTCCAAACGCGTACACCTTTCCTAATACACATAGGATGTACAGCAATACACAAATGTCTTTACATATGAAAAAAATGAAGGGATTAAAATGATACAAATAATATTATTTTTCTACATAAATATAAAAAAAACTGCTTACATGCCTTCTTCATGCCTTTTTTCAGTTCATGAAAATTTGCATTTGTATAATGTTACTAGTATTATTAGCAGTAATATTTATTATATGTAGTATTTATTAATATATTTGTTTTAATAAAAACAAGTTTAGATTTGTCCACCTGTCGGGTTTTGGAGACATATGCATCCCCATATGGAGCATAAAAATAGGACGTGTGTTTGGATATAACTAAGTTTTTTGACCACACTTTGTTATTTGTTTTCTGAAAATTAGAACTAAAATTAGAAATAGTTTTGAAACAAATCTTTGCACTACACAAACGAAATTAATATGTAGGCTAATGGATGTCTTCATGGACATGTGTACAACACCGTTTTCTTATCCACGAAACTAAAAGAGTAAAGAGTGAACGTACAATAAAGAGAAAGTAAAACGGCCGAATGGAGAAGACTCAAAGTTCTGCAATGTTAATGCACTATGAGTAAATAGCAAATGCACCATAGTGCAACACAACTGACTTCTAAAGGGACTGTGAGATATGACAGGAGATGATTGTTTTTTTGCACGTTATGCTCAAAACACACCCATATCTCATTAAGAGAATAAGCACAACCCTGTTAGACCATGTGCTGCAGCGCAGAGCATGTTTTTCTGTCCTTAAAATAGCAAAAGTGGATTCGGATATGCTCTTAATGCTTTTGCGCCATGCTCTTTAGACTTTACGCCTACATCGTTAAAAGAGAGCCCATTGTCTATAATGTTTTAACATTAATGTTTCTAGACATGAAATATTGGAAAACATCATGTAGACATATGTGTTTTATAAATATACAGTTATGGAAAAAGAGATTGAAAGTGATCTGAATTTACTGCATTTATTATTTGTGTAAAATGTTAATATTTCTTTTATTTTGTAAAAATCTACGAACATTTATTCCAAATTTTAAAAAAATAATGTTGTTTAGAGCAATTTTTTTAAGCCAAGAAAAATATCAGAATTACAAATGTTTTCTTTTGTTGTAATTGGCAGTCGGGGTAATTCCATTATATGTTGATTTATCTGAACTATCAGAAATTCAAACAATGTTATTGTGTATTCGCAAAAAAATTAAAATTAACAATGGAATAAATGTGTGATCTCTAAAAATGAACATTTACATGCCTGAAAACATTTTCTGTCTTTTTCTATAATTTATGCATAAAAAGCTCCAAATGACTAAATTTCCCCTTTGATATTTTTTTGCACAAAAATTTGTAGTTTACAGAATAAAAAAAAAAATTATGGAAGCACATAAGTATAAATTTTAATTCTGAGCACAGGCAGAGTTTCACATTTTTGTCTGACGGAGGGCACCTACTGGCAGACAAGTGATTTTTTTAAAATACCATATATGTCATATTTTCTGCATTTTACAGCAGAGTTAAAGACCTTCACTCTTTTAGTCGTGGGTTTATTAAAAAATTAAATATTAATTTTGTGTGCTTAGCATATCTCTGAATGCTAAAGAAGGACAGAATGTAATAAAAATATATATAGCATTGAATTATTTATTCAATAAATAAATAAATAAATGAGAGATGTTCATTATCAATAGTTTATACTATAAAAGATAAATGAGCATTTCACTCCAACAGATTATATCTTTGAAGTGGACTCTTAGTTTTGTCCGGAGCTGTATTTAGTGCTGGTCATAAATATACATTAATTTTTTGCATAAACATTTTATTACACTGAATGATGATGGAACAATTTTTGACCAATATATCAGCTTTAAAAAACTAGTTTGAAATATTAAAGTAGACACATTATTTTACAATCACTTTTGGAATCGCATGTCACAAAAGTACATTGTATGGGTGATATGTATAGAATTCAATATTTTTAAAGGGATAGTCTCTTAACTTTGATAAAAATGTGTGATACATAAATAAATTTGTGCTTTTGATATTAATCTATTGTTTAAATGATATTGATATTCAACATATTTAGTCAAGGGTTTTGGTCGGTTTGGTAATAATAAATCAGAATGTTATCGACAGAAATGGAGTGATGTGAGTTTGTGTTTGTAGACTCAGAGCTGTTTGTGTTGCAGCGTTCAAGATGGAATGATTAAATCTTGTATATACTGTACAAACAAACAAACACACACAGCCTGCTGTCTCAGATGCAATCATGTGCTCTTACACAAGCAGACATTGCTATTATGAAAAACAGCTGAGCAAACATACACAGCGACACATGCACATTGATGAATGAGGTTGTAACTCAAGCACATGCTCCTCATATTAACTTCACACTTTTTCAGTATTGTGCGAGTAATGGTTCCTGTAACTCAAGTGTGGTTGATGATATTGTCTGCTGCGTATACTGTATAAAGCAGATGATATGGTCTAGTTAGAAAAAGCTGTGAGTCTTTAAAAACATAAGAAAGTGTAATTCACTTTCAAAATGATTGGTCATTCTTCACTTCTACTTCCAGATCATGTTCACTGAGGACTGGCTGTGCGATTTGAGAAAAATATTTAATTGTGATTATTATTATTATTATTATTATTATTATTATTATTATTATATCATTATTGTTTGACAGATATTATGATAGCGATTTGATTTTGATTTAATTTTGTAGTCAAGCTTCAGCTCAATAATCTGTAAGCCGTGGCAACAATTGTGCCACAGCTCTTAAAAATGACCTGTTTTTGTTTGGTGTCTGTGACTTTGAAAGCAAAATATTCCCATATTACCAATGCTGTTTATCCTAGATATTATTTTGTCTATTAATGCTTTTGAAGCAGCAGACACCATTATCTTACTTTTTCACGGTATCCTGTTTGTTTGTTTGTTTGTTTGTTTGTTTGTTTGTTTGTTTGTTTGTTTGTTTGTTTGTTTGTTTGTTTGTTTGTTTGTTATTGTAGATGTAATTTGGTTGTGCAATTCTGATTGGGCAGAACGAAAGTGTGCTCACTCAGTTGGCTAGTAAGACGCGTTTGCTCTGGGTGGGGAAAATTAAATAATGCATAATATATTTCATATCACAGCCTCTTGCTATTCACTAATCGTGATGTTTTTAAATTGTGATCGCAATTCAATCACTCGAACAGCTTTACTGTGAACTGCTTGGAACATTTAAATAAACATTTTGTGGTCAAAAGAAGAAAGAAACTAGTTTGGAACAAGTGCAGAAAATGATGACAGAATTTTCATTCAGGAAGTTAGCTACTACTTTAACAAGGTCACCAAGGTCAACAAATGTTGCAAGTGCATTAGAGTGAGATACTGGAGGATAAATCCCAGTGGCAACTATGATGCATGATTTCATTGTTGCAGTTTTATGAATCTGCCATGTTTAGACAGCAAGGCAGACTGGTAAAGTTAGCTAGTTATTAGTTATTAGTTATTTGCTAGTTAAAAATAAACGGGGGCTAATAATTCTTTTCTAATAACCGGTTTATTTTATCTTCGCTATGGTGACATAATATTTTACTAGATGTTCAAATCACTACTATACAGCTTAAATTGACATTTAAATGCCTAACTAGGTTAATTAGGTTAACTAGGCAGTTTAGGGTAATAAGGCAAGTTATTGTATAACGAATGGTTTGTTCTGTAGACTATCAGAAAAAAAACTATAGCTTAAAGGGGCTACAATTTTGAGCTTAAAATGAGCATAAAAAAACTGCTTTTATTCTAGTCGAAAATAACTTTTTCCAGAAGAAACAATATTATCAGAAATACTGAAATACCCCCCTTGGGGGTAGGGGGGTATATTGTGTACATATTGTATAGAGTTAAAGACAAAAAATTTAATTCTCCTGTGAAATTTTAATTCTTTTTTAAATATTGGTCAAGTGATGTTTAACAGAGCAAGGGAATTTTCGCAGTATTCCCTATTATAATTTTCTATATATCCCTAACTCTTCATATTTACTCATATTACACTGATTAAAGTAACCATTGTTATCCAATAGCTAACCTGATTAAACTAACTTGCCGAGTTAACCTAATTAACCTAGGTAAGCCTTTAAATTGCACTTTAGCTCAGTACTAGTCTTTCTAGTCTAATCTAACTAGCAGTACTAGCAAAATAACTTTAAATATTATTTACTGTCATCATGGCAAAGAAAAAAAATTGTTATTATGATATTGTTTAAAAATGTGATTTTTCCCCTCTTTATTTTAAACAGCACTTGGGAAATATTTGAATTGACTCTGTGTTTGAGTGTATATGTTTTTTTTTTCATTTACTTTGTAATGGAAATAGAATTCTAAATTCATTTCTGAAGACCCTAAAATTGACATCCTGTTTATATAAGTACTGTTTGTGTTATCCATAGGTTTTCACCACTGCATCATGCGGCTCTCAATGGAAATGTGGAAGTCATATCACTACTGCTGGACTCTCAGGCCCTAGTGGACATCAGGGACCAGAAAGGTACCAGAAAAAAAATTAATGCAAAATGTTAGCTTTACATCGCCATCTTCAAATAAAGAGTTTGGCATATCTTAAAAATTACAGCAATGCCCTAACCTGATTTCATCAAGTAGGACATGTTTTAGATGTTGATCCTGGTACAACATTCCAATCAGCCAATCAGAATTAAGGGGTACATTTACTGTTTATGTTAGGTTTATGCACTTCTACATGATTGTTATCCAACTATAATTCCCCTCTGATTTTGGGAATAATTTACAGTTATGGTTGGGTTTAAGGTAGGGAGTAGGTATGGATTACATTTTTTTTTTAACAAAAATGATGTTTCAGGATCCCCATAGATGTTAATCCAGGATTGCATCGTACTTGGCAAAATCAGGATGTGCAACAGCAATGCTTTTGAAATCACTTCCAAACAATCACAAACGAGCTTGACTTCACATGTATGAATAATTTATCCACTTTGTTCTACACGCCTAGGTGCTTTTTGTGATTAATGATATTAACTTCTGTTAAATTGTAAACAATCAGTGAAATGTTTTTAAAACGTGTATACAGTGAGGTGGTATTATTCTCCTCACAGTTCATCCACTAAATATCAGCCTCTTCAGGATTTTTCAAGGACATTTTATAAAAGATTTGCAGCATAAATTATTGATTTTTTCAAAGATTTATAAAAGCATTATTTGCTTCATTATTTTAGTTTTTTCTCTTGTGCTGTGAAACTGCTTACATCTGCTTTAAAATACTCATTTTCTTTTTTTTTCTCTCAAGGACCACTGAATTCATGAAATCCTGGAGGGACTGAAATATTAAGACAAATCTAATTAGAATGAATAAATTACTAGCAGTCCATGAAAAACCACAAGAACTCGGAATAAGACTTTCTGCTGCAATCTTTTGAAAACTTCTATATAAGATGTACAAAGAGGACCAAAAGAACAAACAAACAGTGATCTCAAAAGAGCTTTGGCCTCAGTTATGATACTAATGTCACATAAAATAACAAGTGTAAAGTTTTTTCATTATAGATAAAAATAAATCACAAAATGAAACTCATCTCACAATATGTTGATCATTTGTAGTGCATTTGAAGCATTTATTTCAGATATTGTTAACGGAAATTTACCCAACTGGAAGCACATCCAATAACTTTAAATGCAGTAGTCACGTGTGGGCAAATGTTTTGAGTTAGCTTATATAACGTGTTTTTCTGTCATGTTTCAGGGATGCGTCCTCTACATTATGCAGCGTGGCAGGGGAAGTCGGAGCCCATGAAGCTACTGCTGAAGTCGGGCTCTTCAGTGAACGGTCAGTCGGATGAGGGTCAGATCCCCCTGCACCTGGCTGCTCAGCACGGACACTATGACGTGGTGAGTACACTGTACACACTGCTTCAGCTCCAGACCCGCTGTTCTTCAAAGACACCATACGAGCAGACCTGTATGATAAAAGAGCTGCAACACCTTTATAGATACTGACAACTTGGAAGCAGAAACTTACGAGAAAATGCTTTGAAGCTCCATCAACCCACACACATGCGTTTAATGAAACGCACAAGGCACACACTTCAACCCTTTTTCTGTCAGAGTTTCAACCACTTAGTGAAGAGGCAGTTTGAAGTAGATAGTGTGGCTTTTATTCTTTGTTCTTTTCCAGAAATAGACATGGGAAATAAATATGGCGTTCATGTGTTCAGGTTAAAGTGTGGTGTGGTGTGGTGTGTGTGTATTATATAGTCAGAATGTTTAGCCCCTCTGAATTATTATCCCCTTGATTATTTTGTTCCCCAGTTTCTCTTTAACGGAGAGAGGATTTTTTCAACACATTTCTAAACATAATAGTTTTAATAGCTAATTTCTAATAACTGATTTATTTTATCTTTGTCATGATGACAGTAAATAATTTTTTACTAGATATTTTTCAAGACACTTCCATACAGCTTAAAGTGACATTTAAAGGCTTAACTAGGTTAATTAGGTTAACTAGGCAGGTTAGGGTAATTACTGTAGGCAAGTTATTGTATAACAATAGTTTGTTCTGTAGACTATCGAAAAAAAATATATAGCTTAAAGGGGCTAATAATTTTTACCTTACCATTGCTTTTAAAAATAAAAAAATGCTTTTATTCTTGCCGAAATAAAACAAATAAGACTTTCTCCAGAAGAAGAAAAATATTATCAGACATACTGTGAAAATTTCCTTGCTCTGTTAAACATCATTCGGTAAATATTTTAAAAAGAAAAAAATATATAAAGGGGGTTTAATAATTCTGACTTCAACTGCACTGTAAAAAACCCCTGTAATTTTACGATTTATTTCCGGCAGCTTAAATTTAAATGACATTTAAATTTAAATAAACCATAAAATTACGGATTTTTTTACAGTGTGTATATACAGATGTTAACACTTCAATATGTTACCTCTGCCGTCGCCGCAGCGTTAGTAAATGCGCCTACAGCTTTTGAATGCTGGTTGGCACTTTAACTGTAATCTTCGTCATCTACTCCATTAACATGCAATTTTCAGCTATGCCTATTTACAATACTAGATAGGGCAGTACTGTATATGTACCTTATGCAAAGGTACTGTATTTTATTAGTCCTAAACATGATTTTACACTATACTGTATGTTTGAGAAAATATGTCCAAAATACTTGGTGAGAAGCATAGCCCTTGGCTGAAAGTATTAAGCAAATATAAATAATTCTTTACATTTCTGGACACTCAAAGCGCTTTACACATTGGGGGGAATCTTCTCATCAATCACCAGTGTGCTGCATCCACCTGGATGATGCGACGGCAGCCATATTGCGCCAGACCACACCACACACCAGCTGATAGGTGAAGAGGAGACAGAGTTTGTAGCCAATTATTATATGGGGATAGTTAGGAGGCCATGATGGACAGAGGCCAGTGGGCAAATTTAAATCCCTACTCTTTTCGAAGGACATCCTGGGATTTTCAATGACCACAGAGATTCGGTTTTAATGTCTCATCAAAAAGACAATGCTCACTGAGCAATATTGAGTCAGCATCAATATACTGGGGCATTAGGACCCACACAGACCGCAGGTTGAGCGCCCGCTGCTGGTCCCACTTGCACCACTTCTGGCAGCAACCTAATTTTACCATGTGGTCCCCCATCCAGGTACTGACTGGCAAATCCCTGCTTAGCTTCAGTAGGTGACCATGCGAGAGTTGCAGAGAGCTACTTAATAAGAATTAAGTTTTTGAGCTTTTATAGTGCCCTATTAAATTTCCTTGCAGTAAAAAGAATGTTCGATTTCTAAATCCTTTGGTTTTATTAAGAATAAGAAAAAAATCTCATAATATGCAAACAAATAAATAAATTAAACAGATAGCAATGGCAGTCATTACAACAACACAGGACAAGACACGTTAATGTAAGCTTATCAAATGTCTCTCATTCTGAATAAATAAATGTTTTCATAACAGAAAAGGGCTTTGTATATATAATAGAGGGAGGGAGGGAGGGAGATAGAGAAAGAGAGCGACTGCAGTTGAATTGAAAAAAATGGATAACCACTGTTTAAAAAAAATCATTTAAAATATTTTTAAATACAATAAAAATCAGTTAAAATATTTTTAATTGTACTCTTCAACGAACATTATAATTAAAGGATTTCTGAAAATGACAAAATTACAAGTTATTCTAATTTCTATGAATCACGTTTTTTTTTTTTTTTGTAATTCTACTCTTCAACTGCACACAAAAAGATTTTAAAATTACTAAAAAGTAAACTCTTCATTTATTCATTTATTTCCTTTTCGGCTTAGTCCCTTTATTAATCTAGGGTCGCCACAGTGGAATGAACCGCCAAAATCCAGCATGCTTTACACAGCGAATGCCCTTCCAGCTGCAACCCATCTCTGGGAAACATCCACACACTCTCATTCACACTTATACACTACAGGCTCTTTGGACTGTGGGGGAAACCGGAGCACCCAGAGGAAACCCATGTGAACACAGGGAGAACATGCAAACTCCACACAGAAACACCAACTGACCCAGCCGAGGCTCGAACCAGCGACCTTGCTGTGAGGCGACAGCACTACCTACTGCGCCACTTTGTCTCCCTAAACTCTTCATATTTACTCATATTACACTGATTAAAGTAATTTCCCAGCAAATAAAATGCAGGGAGTAAAAATGCTGAGTGGCTAGTGATATAAAAAGTTAAGGTCAAGCAAAGTCCCTTTAAAGCACCTCATTTCACTCAGCGGCCATCTTTGAAACTCCTCTTAGGCAATATGTTCGGGCATTCTGTCTTAATGTGGAAACATCAAATTCTCCAAAACTGTCTGCCAAGCTTATGATTACATTACATATTTAGAATCACCAATTAAATTAAACCACAACTGTCTCATAATGTACACACGCAGTCGAAAAGAAAGAGATCATGACAGCAACCTCATTTATGGCCATTCTACACGTAAGATCGCGCTGGTCTCGTGAAGTAATTCACAACTTGATGGTGAATCTCCTCCAGTAATGACTACAAACAAATGCTACTCTGTTTACGAGTTTGTGGACGTTTAGTTGCTGTCATTGATGTGCGTTTGACAGAATAGACTGTAAGTTAGGTTTGTTTCATGCAGATTACAAAACCAGAAACCTTTTGTTTTCAAGCGTAGTTGGTTCATTTAAAAGCACAGATTACAAGCTTCATGTGGATATATTTCTTATGTCTCTAAAGCAAGTATTCGTTGAGATTCCAGTGTGTTTATTGACAACCAAACTGTCATGTGGTCTGAGCCAGTCTACATCGAGTGATGATTCATCGAGTGGCTTCATTCGCCATATTGACCGTTACACTTTTCTCTATTCGAAACTATACGAGTGACATGTCTCGTGTATTCTATAGTCTTTGGGTCAAGCCATATTCAATAACTATGATAATTAAGTACAGCAGCTTATCACATAAATAAATGTGACAGCCAATCAGTGTATGTTTCAAATAAGTCATCATGTTCCACAAACTCAAACATAATAGTGTATTATTTAATAATAATTAACAGACAAAACTGTTTTTTTTTTTAGTAAATTAATTGTTGTATTTTTTTTTTTTTACAAGATTTAGGAAATTTTTCAAGTTTTAAAATTTCATTAGATACCATTCTGACATTTACATTAAATCATAAGACAGAATGCAGAAAAGTAGGGTGGAAATGCAGAATTTTTTGGAAAAATGAAGGCAAATCATATGTATTACATATTTGTATGTATAAAGCATTTACTTCCCCGTTAATGGTAAATGAACAAATCAATAAATATGTATTTAAAAATAATCATGATAATATTTAATTGGCCAAAATGGCCAAAATGTGACTGTACTAGATACTGTATTTGAATTTAACATTCTTGCAAAGGCATTTTTACATTTATGTGTACTACAGATTATCTGAACTCAGCCAAGATATGTATTTTATTTACAGATAAACAGTCATTAATGTTATGTAATACATTTATGTATTATTTTACATCAACATACAGTTTTCTGTTTAAGACAGGCTAATAACTGATATGTAAGTGTTGTATACTCAAACCATGAACTAAGCAGTGATTTCCTGCCTACAGTCTGAGATGCTTCTGCAGCACCAGTCAAACCCCTGCATAGTGGACAATGCTGGAAAGACTCCACTGGACCTGGCTTGTGAATTCGGTCGGGTCGGGGTGAGTCAAATGCTGCTTTTTTGGTCGCTGTCAAGCTACTTGTATGTCTTTTTCATGTCTCTAATTGACCTCTGAGTATGTGTGTGTGTGTGTGTGTGTGTGTGTGTGTGTGTGTGTGTGTGTGTGTGTGTGTGTGTGTGTGTGTGTGTGTGGGTATGGTCATCTGTTTGGCCTGCAGGTGGTCCAGCTGCTTCTGAACAGTAACATGTGTGCTGCTCTGCTGGAGCCCAAACCGGGAGACTCCACTGATCCCAATGGCACCAGCCCACTTCATCTTGCTGCCAAGAACGGCCACATCGACATCATCAGGTGAGCCTGAGACTCAGGCGGAGAGACCGGATGCGCTTCTAAGAATAGAAGTCACACTTTTCCACATCTCTTGATCGCCTGTGCTTGATCAATAATGTACTGCTGTTTACCAGAGAAATGATTTGGAAGGTGTTTTTTTCATAGCTCTTAAGAAAAACAAAAAACTAATAAGGTTCATTTGTTGGCATGGATTTGTAATTAGGGAAGCACATCTAATTATTCATGTTGGTTTATTTTTTTATAATGTAATTACTGTTATTCTTGAAAAGAAGCTGTAATGGGCTAAACATCACTGAATTTGCATTTAAGTTAACAAATGGGTAAAACAAGTTGAGAAGCAGCTCATTTCAATATTTATTATTATCATTATGGTCTCACTGTGATTTAAGGTGCAATTTTTGCTATCAACAAACCATTAACTAAGACTTTGAGCTCAATAAACTACTTATTGACAGCCTTATAATAGTTATTTAGCAGGGTAATATTTGGGTTTAGGCATTGAGTAGGCATAGGCCGGTATAACATTCTGACAGTGTGATAACCTTGGATAAAAATATCAAGGTTTGACGGTATTATAATTACTGCTCTAAAATATATTCTTTTTAAATGTCTGGGTAAAAAACAACAACTTTTTTCCTCTTTGAACACAATGTATGCACAGTATGTTTTTTTTTTTTTTTTTGTTTTTTTTTTGAAAAAACGTTTAAGATATTTTGTAGCAGTAAACATGTCGGGCTAAATAATTCAAATAAATCCTTGACTTCTGCTCTCTTCATTGGTTTCAAACACACACATTTCATTACAATTTAAAAACTTAAAATAAAACATAAAAAACGTATATATGCCATAGGAATGGTATAGCAGAAAATTTTGGATTTAAGTACACATTGAAAAGGGTTATCATCCCTATCATAGATTTAGAATGAGATCATACTTGATATCATCCTAGAGCAAAAAAACAATACCTTAATAATAGGCAGGTAGTAAGCCACTAGTTAATGGACAGAATTAGTATTAGTAAATCAATAAAATAATTTTTTATAGCAACAGTAAAATTTCTAAATTTTCTTTGTTTCAATATATTTTAATTTTTTTTTCGCCTTAGCTTTCAAATGTAACACAGTAGAGATTTTATTTGCCAGAAACAACACAGGGAAGCTTTTATTTTCAAATCTTTTTGTTCTGTCGACAAATTCATAAACCTTTCTTACTTCAAAATTTATTTTGTTTAATTTTTTTGCACAATTGTGCATTGAGCTCATCCAAGTTACTAAAACACTGTTACCAAGAGCTGCTCATGTAAAAAGATAGCAGTGCTGTGTGTCAAATTATAATTTACATATCTACAACATTCATCGCATTTAACTCGTTAAGTATTGCTGTTTTATATGCATGCTGGTGCAGATTTTTACTTAGTTTTGCTGTTTGTCAGGTGTTAATTTGAAGTCAGTAATGATAATTTGCATAACAGTGCTTGTTATTCTTACACTGATTCGATTTGCACCTCATATATTACAAGCAAGGAAACATCACAAGTACAAATCTCTCGTAACACACCTTCAAATCTGCTGTTTTAATGAAAAAATATATATGTTTCCAGTTAAAGCCTGATGAGCTGCTGCTTTACAGTCCACAGCAGTATGATTTAAGAAACAATACATACTCTCTCTGTGGCATGAACAACAGGGGAATGCATTGATTTCAGTGCAAGCAGACTCAGAGATTGTTTTTATTGACTGAAGCTTGTATTAGTTCTGGAATGGAATTGGGAAAGTTTAAGATCAATTTTAAGAGTGAAGACCTGAATCAAGTATAATTGTGAAGAAAGATACACTATAGCTAAATGAGGACCACTCTGAGGACACATTTCATATATTAGTGTTTTTATCAGACATTAAATAGGTAGTTCACCCCAAGATGAAAATGTTTTCACTGTTTACTCACCCTTAACTGTATTATTCTGATAAACACAAAGGAAACATTTTTGAAGAAAGCTGAAAACCTGTAACCATTGACTTCCATAACAAAACAAATACTATAGGAGTCAATGGTTACATGTTTTTAGCTTTTATTAAATATCTTCTTTTTTGTTTAGCAAAGGTTTAGAATGAATAAAAGTTGAGTTAATGACAAAATTTACTTAAAGAGCCCATATTATACATGAAAAAGCATCATATTTCGTTATATGGGTCTCCAAGAACATACTGATATGCACGCAAGGTCAAAAAAAAAACACTTTGATGGTCTTATAATATGCATTTATTTTTACCCAATTATCCCAGCGACTCCCATATGAATCGTTCAGCGATTCATTTGTTCCCAAACCCCTCCTTAGCGCAAAGCTAATCTGCACTGATTGGACAGCCTGTTGTGATTGGTCGACAGCGTTCAGAGCTAGACAAATGCCCAGTGCGGGACAAATGCCCAGCGTGGTTTGTCAAGCCCCCGGTGGACGGGCTTGCACGATAACCCTGTGACCATCATAACCCCCGCACAGGAAGGATAGACGGCACTTACCAGTGAAAATGAAACCGATAGCGTGCACATCATTTACTGAGCATGATTTCCCTTCTCAGCTGTAACTTAGATCATTTCTATTTGCAATTATTGCTGTGGCACCTCTTGCGTGAAGTGTTATATGTTCTCAGGGCTCACCTGTACTCTGCTTTGCCTAAAGATCCCATCCCCAGCCAGGGGGTTGTAGTGCTCACCAGCGTGTAGCAGGTTGCCTTTGTGCCTAATAAACTGGCCTTATTTTGCACGCACCCCTGGTGTATTGCCTGCCAATTCTCACAAGTCTCATACACCAGTCTTTTCTGATTTTGCCTTTAACAAACGAATCAATCGCCCACTGTAAGCGTGTAGACTGCTAAATCAATTATTTCCCCTCACACTTCCAATAATATCCAGGTAAGCACAGCGTCTTCTTGACTTATGACTTTAGGATCTGTTTTTCTTGGCGGCCATGTTAGTGGGCGGGGCGCAGGTTTAAATTTTCCTGGGTTTGGGCCCATAACAACTTCGTAGTCACGTCAAGCCGAAACGGCTAAAGACTCGTTATGAAGACGATTCATTCTAACCACTATGAGTCAACTCTTTTTTTCATGAATCAATAGTTTTAAAAACTGTCCACTTTCAGATTTAATCCTTAGCTGGATATTTCACTTCACTTAGATCTGTGTTACACACTACATGGAAGCTCATTTTTAAAAAACCCACTATAGGGGCTCTTTAATTTCAGAGCATATTTACAACAGCAAGGCACTTGATAAAGCTGAATAATGTATGCTTGTTAGTTTGACTATGCAAATCCAATCCTGTTTACATGTATTCTTATACATTAAGAAGATGCTTTCATTTAAAACATATTGCATTGCATTTAAACTACAGTACACATCGTTTCTGTTCATTTAATCTCTGGTAATTAAACTAATCATTTTGGTAATGCTAGAACATGCTGTACTATTGGTGCTTAAGCTTTCAGAAATGTGCTTAGATTACATTTTTAAAAGATGAATTAGTTCTTTTGATGGACTTAAATTAATTTTTTAGGCCCAGATATGACTAATAGTTTGCACCAGCATAAGAAAATGTCACATATGCATATGAACGTAGTTACTGCATTTAGGCATTTTCTTTTCACATGTACAATTTTTGGGAGGGGAGTGTTTAAATTATTCATGCAAGGTGATTTACTAAGGTTTGTGGTGTTTTATTATTGATTAATACCTTCTTCTTAACCCATTTTGTACTTTATTCATGCTGTGATATGTTGTGGTGCTCATTGTCATGATAGGAACAAGTTGTTGTTCTTTCACTTTTGCATTTTCAGTAGACCACCTGCAGAGCTTTATACTCTGATCTGTGCTTTTTTGGAATTGCTGTCTCAAGCTAATTTGCCCTGTGTCGTAAATCTGCCCCTTAAAAGGTTAGTTCACTTCAAAATGAAAAATTGCTTCTTAACAGTAATGTTCAGTTTCTTGGATAAGCCGTTCATTTCACTTCATTCAGTGTATCACCATGGGCAAAGTAGTGGGTTAGTAGGTAGTGCTGTCGCCTCACAGCAAGAAGGTCGCTTGGTCGCTGGTTCGAGCCTCGGCTTAGTTGGCGTTTTTGTGTGGAGTTTGCATGTTCTCCCTGCATTTGTGTGGGTTTCCTCCGGGTGCTCCGGTTTCCCCTACAGTCCAAAGACATTCGGTACAGGTGAATTGGGTTGGCTAAATTGTCCGTAGTGTATGAGTGTGTGTGTGAATGTATGTGTGGATGTTTCCTAGAGATGGATTGCGGCTGGAAGGGCATCCGCTGCGTAAAAAGTTGTCGCTTCATTCTGCTGTGGCGACTCTGGATTAATAAAGGGACTAAGCCGACAAGAAATGAATGAATTAATGAGTGTATCATCATGAGCCTAGAATACTAATTTTGTTTTCCATGTTTGTGCTTTTTTAAATTAAAAATGCTACTATCTTTTGACTTGAAATTAACCTATGTGTATAAATAAACTGCAAGTTGCAATTTTTGTGTTATTTTAAAATTGCATGTAATGGACTTAGGAGCCTATGTTTATTTATTATTGTTCATATTTAAATGAGACCAGATAAAAGAGAAGTAGCATTAGAGATGCATTTTTTTAAAGTTTGCTTATGTGTTTTTTGTATTTTATAAAACTACAACAAAATATAAAAGAAGAAAAAACAATACAATCCTAATACATATAAAATAAAATGCTTAAAAAAACATTATCCTATGACAGAACAACCGAACAGCAGAACACAAACGGACAAATGCACATGAAATCAAAATATAATTGAACTAATCAGGTAATGCACATAAAAGTAACTATGAAGTAACATTGTTCTTATATTACTAGAAAAATGCATTATCCTGACTTTAGTTTGTTTTATTGTCAAATAATAGTTTAGGCACATTATTAAAACATTATAGTTTATGAATAGTGAATATCAAATACACTCAAACTTTAATTACTTTGTTATTAACAGGGG